TTGTTTGTTAGTGATGGCAGGACAGTTTTGTGTGGGTTTTTTATTTCTTGACCCTACGATAAGTTTGTGCCACCCAGGAGATGAGCAGGGAGAAGAGGGAGAGAGCAAAAGGGAGGGGAAGGAGTTGCCTCAAGGTGTGACGTGCAGTGTCCGAGCGATACTGGTGCGGGGTAAGGGAAGAACCACATTCAGGCTTTGTGGCACATGCCAAGTAAACGATGGGGTACTGAGGGTGTGGGGACTGGACAGCTGGGCACAGGCAGAGAAGGTGGTGTTGGTCTTTGTTCAGGTCTTGGATCTCCCAGGCCGGGCCAGCCGGCCACAGCAGAGCAAACCTGGCAGAAGAGGCAGTGCCCCGATGCTTGGGGGATGTGGGGAGGGATCCAGGGATAAGTATGGAGGTAATGGGTCTCTCTCCTTCACCTCCTCTCTGTAATTGTAACTTTTTTGGTGTTCTAGGTGAGAGATCAAGGAGTGTCCAGTGCCAGAGTAGCAGACAGAGGATATCAGAGAGAGAGAGAGAGGCGGCTCAAAGGATGTGTTTATGTATTAATTTATTGACATAGGTAAGGATGTTTTGGTGGTGGGGATGGAGGTTATGGCCTGAAATATGCTCTCCATCCCTCTGGATGTAGCAGCTGAGGTCCTTGTCCTTAGGTACAGGTTGGACATTGCTGAGGGCCGTGGAGAAACATCCCTCTCAACCCCAGAAAGGGACGTGGGGGGTATCCATGGTCGAGCTCGCAGTGGAAAGGGGCTGCATCTCCTTCCTGGTGCTCTGTGACGGGGACAGTGCAGACAAGGCACTAGGATGTGCCATGAGCCAGAGCGTTTGGCCATCTGTAGATGTTTCTCTCCAGTGGAGGCAGGTCCATCACCAGGTACCCAGCAGAACCAGCATTTTAAGATGGGAAGCATCAGGGAGGCCCAAATTGTGGTGGGATCCCCAGGTGCCACATGCAAGAGGCCAGTGTTGCTTTGTGGCACCAGGATTTATATTGCATCACCCTTGGCTCCCTGATTGGTTGGTTTTTTTGGAAGAGGCTCAAAGCACAGTGTTTCCCACAGTGGTCACCCATGCTTGACTCACTGCAGGTAACATTGAGGAAAGCAGGCAGGATCATTTGCTCCTCCCACATCCCTTTCTTGGGGAGGCCATTGGGTTTTGGGAAGCACTTACCTTTCTGCAGGAGTCACTTGAGGGAGACAGCAGAGGTGTCCCTGATGTGTGAGGCTGCAGTACTCATGGTGCTGGGATGGAGCTGTTTGCTCAGCAGGGCAGCTTCTTGTGGGGTTCGGGGATAAACCTTCAGGACTGGGCCTTTTCATTCTCATGTCGAGGCAGGTGAAGGGAGGTCTCAAAGCAACTGAGACCCTGATAGATCTGGCACAGTCCCACAGCCTCCAGTCTCCTGACAGCGGGTCTCATATTAGAGGAGCTGGTTGAATGTTTTTTCACAGCTGATGTGGTGGAAAGGTGGGGAAGGTTGATGGGGTGGAACAGAATCCCCTGGGTGTGGGGAGCACAGCCTGCCTCCCCAGCCCTGTGGTTTTAGGATGAGACTACAGCCATGTCAGGAAGATGCTGAGGGTCACGGCTCCTTCTGGTCCTGGTCCTTGCCATCTTTGTCCTTTGATGAAGGCATCTGGTCTGTGTCACGCACTGTCAGATCACGACAGGAGCAAACCATCCTTGCGAGTGCATCATCCACAAAGGTGTCCCTTCACGGGTGGGGGGGTTTAGCTGTCAGCAAGTGTTGCTACAAGACGATGGAGAAGATGCTGGGAATGGCTCAGGCATGGAAAAGAGACCCCTGATCACTGCTTCTGCTGAACGTAGGTGAGTGATGAGAGCAAAGACAGTCCTGACCCTGCAGGGCTCTGTCAGCAGGTATGTGCTCATTGGCAGACGGAGGATGGAGGTGGGTGGGACCTGGGACCCACTCGTGGATTCCCAGGGGAGAGATGCATGGATGGGGTGAGGGATGGCCCAAACAGCAGCGGGCCCCCAGCTGTGGGGCTCCAAGTGTCACCATCACAGGGGATGATCAAAAGAGGGTCCAACCAAGTGTTGGGTGAGACTACAGGACCCACTTGGGAGCCCTCCTGGCTCAGCACACCAGGTGCCAAGCACCACGACCCTCCCTGGGGTGTGCGGGGTCTGTGAAGCAAAGCCCCGAAGGTACAAAGTTCGTCAAACTTTATTGATACACTGCACAATCACAACCATCTCTTATTCTTGCCGAATTAGAAAAGGTTACAACTACAATGTAACATGCACAAATCTCAGGTAGTATAGCCACCCTTGGAATACAATGATCGACAGAAACTCAAGACTGGCCGTCGTGGCCATCAGCAGGAGAGACCCAGGAGCCACACTGCCCCTGCCCTGGGCACCCGGCAACCCCCCGGGCATCCAAACACGGAGAGCAGTGGTCACAAAGGGGTCTGACACCCAGTGGGGTCGGCCTCAGACAGCCAACACGTTCCTCACAATGGCACGTTACATGGCACGAGAAAGTCGAACGCCGTCCCGGCAGAGGACAGGGGAGCTGAGCCCACCTGACCCGGGGAGGAGAAGGGTGGGATGGGGGGCAGCCCTGGTGCCAGGTCCGCCAGCCTTGGTGTGCGTCGTGGCGTCCCGTCGTCGCTGCCACTCTCTGGTACGCTGTGGCCTCTGGCCCTGGGATTCTGCAGCATTTCTGCTGCAGGGACGGAGAAACTTGGGGCTGACCCAGGAAGGGGCAGGGGGAGGCGGTGGGGGGCTGTTGTGGGGCAGTGCGGACCAGTGAAGGCATCGGGACAAGGTGTCTCCTGCACCCAAGGGTACTTCTGGAGCGGGCACGTGGGGAAGGATGTGCGTGTCGCTGGCCAAAGACGGTGCCATCCCCGCTCAGTAAACATGCCCGGGGCCGTGGAAGAGGACCCAGATCACTGCCGGTGCCACCTTCCCGGGATGCCAGTGGAGATGCAGAGCACCGCAGGGACCGCAGGACGCGGACTCACCCAGTCAGTGCCGGATCCCCGTCCATCAGGTAACCCAGCGTGTCCCACCAGCAGCAGGGCAGCCTCGGGCCAGGGGGGGTTGCCCATCAGCCATGGTACATGTTGAACATCCAGGATGGGGGGTGGGAGCATCCATTGAGATTTTGTAGCAGGACCCGGGGCAGCCCATTGAGAGCAGGGATGAGGAGGGGCACAGCTGCAGAGAGGACGGGGTGGTGGCCCATCATGGCCTCTGGCTTGGGCTGGTTCTTTCCATCTTGTGTGCTAAGGACTGTCACCCCAGCTTCCTCGCAGCCACACAAAGCAGGAGGATTGGGCAGCAGCGGAGTTTGCGCAGGGAAGACAGCGTGTGCGTGGCCATTGCCCTTAAGTCATCTCACTTATGGAGGGAGAAGGGAGGGACAAGGCACAGGGATGCGGCGGGTCAGGACAGGGGATGCTCCGTGTGCTTGCTCAGTGCCTCGCTGTAATCAGGTCTCCCTTCCAGAGGAATAGGGTCTGGTGCGACACATGACTTTTCAGGAGCAGGATGGGAGTGCTCATCCTCAGACTGTGGCCCCAAAGCATTCCTGGGTGGCCAGGGAGCTTCGGGAAGGCTCAGGGCTGCCACAGTGTACCAGGCGAGGGGGTCCGTGGTGCACGGTGCCATCAGGAGCACAATTCCATATGCAGGGAGGTGACATGGCCACCATCACCAGCAGCTCCCAGAGTGGCTGGAAGAAGCAGAGGGCAGAGTCTGGGTGCACCCATTTTGGTGTCACGGGTATGTCACAGCAGGGAGGATCAGAGCCGTTCTTGTCCCAGCTGCGCCAGCGTAGTAAATCAACGGAGCCTGAGCTGCCTCCACAGGGTCGAACACATCAGACTTTCCTCAGGCAGGGGCACGTGATGGGCACGAGAGAAGGCAGCATGAGGACGTTGCAGCTCAGGGCCCTCGGAGAGGCAGAGATGCCGACGGTCACGAGCGTCAGAGCCGCAGCAAAAGGGCCTTGTCAGCTGGTGTTTCGCTGTGTCGTTCGGAGCCTCTGCCCCGCGTTGGTGGTGCTGTGCTTTTAATGTGCAGGTTGGAAAGTGCTTGGGAAAAAAGCCCAGAGGAACCCCCTCAAAAAGTGCTGGCAGCACACCAGGGCAAGAGCCACAGGGCAGCCCCTGCCATCAGGGGGGCAGCAGCAGAGCGGGCAGGGGTCTGGAGCAAGAAAGGGCGATGGCCTGGCTGTCTGATGCAGCAAGAAGGTTCTTAGTCCCCATGAGGGGCTGGCGTCATCCCCAGGGCTCACATTCCTGGGAGAGCAGCCTTGTGCCCTCTGGAAGGCGACAGGGTTTACTGGGAAGCAGACAGGTACGATGTTAGCTGGGAGAAAGAGTAGTGGGAGGGGCCTGACCCTTGAAGGACAACTGGTTGTGTCACCTGGCCCTCTCCAAAAGGGCCAGCGAGCGTCCTGTCAGGAGCAGAGGCAGATGAGGGGAGGCCAGTGACATCGGGGGTGCTTAGGGAGGAGCTTTGGCGACAAGAACTGACATTCAGGACCAAGAGGGCTGAAGGCAGAGCCAGGGGGCTTCAACCTTGGGGTCTTTTTGGGCGTAGGCGGCTGAGTGAGACGACGAGACGGACATCCCCGGTGAAGGCTCTGGGCGGCACCCGCCCCGGCGGCTCCGCGCTGGAAACGAGGAGCACCGTCCGTGCCGGGCCACGTCCCCGGGGCGGCGGTGGCGGGTGACAGTCTGGTGGCACGTGGTGGGGTCTGTACAGCGTTAACTGGCGGCGAGAACGATCCCGGCACGTGGGAGACGGGGCCATCCTCGGACGCTCGGCACCGCCGCCCGTCCTCCGGCGCATCGCCCGTCCCGCGGAGAGGAGTCCCCGGGCGGCGCGGCGGGCAGGGCCCGCGGCGGGGGAGAGGCGCGCGGGGCCTCCCGGGACCCTCCGCTCCCTTATCAAAAGTCGAGGAGGAGGAGGCGAGCGAGGAGGGTGGCCCAGAGGCAGAGGCCGGCGACCAGCCGGGATGCCGCGTTGCCGCCGTCGTGCACCGCTCCGGGCCCTGCGCGGGGGAGAGGAGACAGACAAAGGTGAGCGGTGAGGTCAGTGGTGAGACAGCGTGAGAACGTGCAGGAAAACCCACCTCCCCACTGCCCCTGCAGGTCCCCGTCCCCTTCACATCCCACCCCCTCAGCTGTGCTCCCCCTTGTCGTCGTTTGGAGAGCGTTGTTGGTGTTGAGGAGGAGTTGAGGAGGCAGGCAGAGAGCTGGAGGAACGTGTAGGGGAGGCACAGTCCTTGTCTGAGGAGGAGGAGGATGCCCTGGGCAGGTGCCAATCCACCCCACCATGCTTGGAAGTTGCCCCCCTTGGAGAGTCCTGGTGCAAACAGCCACATGAGAGCCACCAGGAGCGGAGACCTCTGTGCTCAGGAGTGGCACAACTTGTGCCCAGCCATGAAGGATCCCTGGCCCAGGAGATGGCACTGTCCAGATGTGCAGTCTCAGGTAGGCAGGTGCATTTTGGGGTGGCATCACTGGGCGTTTCTTGGCAGGGAGGAGGCTGGTCATCTGAGTTCATGGCTGGAGCAGAGGTTTGCTGCACGTTCCTGGATGAGGGCTGTTATTTGGGAAAGATTTGGGCTGAAGGGCACACAAGGGGCCGGTCAGGATGAGATGAGACAGCTGAGCAGAGTGAAGGACGTGGAGCAGACACAGGTGTGCCTGGACTCCCTATGCCTGGGGAGAGGTATTTTGGGAAGTTGCAGGTCTGAGCCCCAGTACTGGAATTCTGAAAGGGAAGAAACAGAGAAACAAGTGCTGAGCTGTCTCAGCATCAAAGCTCAGGGCACAGACAAAGTGTAAAGTAAATGGGATTTTTATCCAATTATGAATATGCTTCCAAGCCTGCAGTCAGCCACTTGGAATGTGTTCATCATAGAATCAATGGAAGGTTTGGATTGGAAGGGACCTTAAAGCCCATCTCATTCCACCCCCTGCCACGGGCAGGGACACCTTCCACTAGCCCAGGTTGCTCCAAGACCCTTCCAACCTGGCCTTGGACACTTCCAGGGATGGGGCAGCCACAGCTTCTCTGGGCAACCTGTGCCAGGGCCTCCCCACCCTCACAGGGAACAATTTCTCTCCAATATACAATCTAAATACACCCTCTTTCAGTTTAAATCCATTCCTCTTTGTCTTACCCCTCTGTGCTCTTGTCAGAAGTCCCTCCCCAGATCTCCTGTAGCCTCTTCCAAATGAAATAATTCTGTGATCTATGAAGTTATATCCAGTTACACTAAATTCTGCAGGATGGTGTCACTCCTTGTCTTTTTATCTACTGATTTCTTTGTGAACATTTATCTTATTTCAGGAAGAGGCAAAGGAGAGCCCAAGATGTTAAATCCAAGCCCTGCCAGAAGGTAAAGAAAATGATGGGAAGATTGAGTGATGAGCAAGAAGTTGTGTCATGCCCATGCTCAAAAAAAATTGATTGCAAGAGCACATGATAATACAAGAGGTGTAGAACTGCTCTGCCATAATCAGACATTTCCTTGCTGAATAGACCTTGGGATATAAAAGGTGGAACCTCCAGCTATTTGTTAGAGGCAAGTAGAGCCTTGTAGGTAGAATGGAAAAGGGCTTTTGAGCTTGGTTTTCCCTCAGATCTGTTGCTACTCCCTCTTCTGTCTTTTAGTCCCCTCAAACTAATGGCAGCACATCCTGCAAATCTACAAAAATAATGAAAATCTATGCAGACTTGATAATAAATGCTGCTTAGACTTAACCTTTTATGTATTTACACCTGCTCAAATCCTGCTAAATCTCTACCTTTCTCTAACAGTTTATCCATACCTTTATCTATAGATGTGGATTTTTAATGTGTGACTAATTCTCATTACTGTTTTCTAGTTCAAAGTTCTGCACTGGTTATTTGCTTTGATTTAATGATGCTTTTTAGAAATCTCATAATCTATCCTAAAGCAATCACATCCTGGTTGAGTTGGAGAGTTCCCAAACAGATAAGTCAGAGAGGAAATAAACTGAAATACTGGGTCATAACTAGAGAAAAAAAACCACAAATATTTTCTCTTAACTGTATTCTTTGCTGAGAAAGAATTTATCCTGGTGTCAGACAGCTCGGCCTTGTAAAAATTGTAAAGATACTCTATGGGAGAGACAAGCATAAAGATACAGTGACAAAATAAAGTAGTAATTAGAGATGATCATGAAATTTAGGCAATGTTTCATTTCATCATGTGCCTCCCGTGTGTCCTGTGAACTGCCACATTAGATGGGAAGAGAATGGCTCCCACTAGGACAGGGAGAGGAACTCAGGACTTCAGCTGAGCTTCCCAGCAAGTATTTTGGCTCTGCTTTGCTAAAACCCCTGTGCCTGGGCACTGAGGTGTGAGTGTACATGGATTCTGACTGCCCCTGCTCAGCTTATTTATTATTGCAGATATTTATTGTTGCTTGGTTTTATTTTCTTCTTCTCGATTTATTTTGTGTCCTCTTTCCTCCCCATTTCCTTCCTGCTCCAGAAGGCAACCTTAGACTTTGAGACCCTGACTCGAGTAAAGATGGCAAGACTGGGATTTTGCCTCTCTCATAAGACCTTGAATACAAAGGTAAGAAGGAATCAGTGGGTCTAATGATGAGTGAGGTTTCTTAGCCTGTGTTGGAGGCACTCTCAACTCCAGTGGGAGCCGCAGGAATGGCCCAAATGCTTTCAGAGCTAAGCAGTCCCTTGACATGCACCAAAAAATAGCTTTTCCTTTCTTTTCCTGCCTCCTTTCTGTCCCAGAAAAGAATTCCCATGCCTTCCATTTCCATCCTTCCAGTTTCAGGCAACATCCACCTTTCTCCAGGTGAGACTGAGACACATGGAGACGAAAAATTTAGAACTTATCTCTCACTGCTTTACATTTTCAGGACTCGTGACAAGCAGGAAGGGAACGTGCCCACACCCACGGTGCTGCTGGATCCCCTCTTTCCAAGGGGGCTCAAGGAAAAGGCAACAGCTGCTCTCCACTTCCCATGGTCCACAACAGCAATTAGTGAGGGAGAGTCTGCCCAATGATTCATGTCTGAGGACATAAGGAAGTCTTGGGGACTGGCTGGGGGGAAGCCTGTGCAGTGACTCATGCCTGAGGGTATATGTGTCTGGACTAAGTCTTGGCAACCTCCCCAGGATGAGATTTTCCTGACATTTTCCCTCAGGTAAACACATGGTCCTTGAAGGATTGTCTCTGCTCATTGCAGGGGAGTTGGAGAAGATGACCTTTAAAAGGTCCCCTCCAACTCAAACTATGATTCTTTGAAGATCCAACAGAGATGTTAAACAGGGCGAGGCAGCCAAAGTGGTGACCTCTTGCACACAAAAAGGAAATACAAGTTAATCAAGACCTAAGGCTTGTCACAAACACTAAGGGAATATGAGCAGTGACTGTAGGTAAGAATTTTATAGCTTGGTATAATATATATCTATTATCTGTAGCATCTAATAGCATAGCCAGCAATTAGCATTTTATGAAATAGTTAAAGAAAAAACATACATGGAGTAAGTAGCACAAGGAGGAAGACAACTGCAGGTGTGAAATACAGGGTTCAAGTGGAAATCAAGTGTGGAGACAAAAAAAAACCCATGTAGGGGTTTAGTAGGCAGAGAAGATAACTGGTGAAGCCAAAGTAACCCCACAGGGTAAGAGGGAATATGCTGGGAAAATCCCACAAAACAAAACAATTCAGTGAAGAGGAGGTGAGTTGTGCCCTGTCCTTTCACAGGCAGAAGGAGAAGAAGAGAACACCAATAAATACTAAGGAAAAAAGAAGAAATCCTACTTCAGCTCTGGCTTTCAACACCAAGAAGTGAAGGAAGCTCTTCTCCCTCACCTCCAAAGGTGGCCCAAACCCCAACCCCAAACCCACAACTGCTGCCCCCCTCGTAGCAGCACTCTCCTGTTTGAGACTGGTGGCTAATTTAGGCCAAATTTATTAAAGACTCATCATTTACCTGTGTATGGATGATAATTAAAGCCTAACCCTGGGGGGTGATGTGCTGTTGATGACTGTCAGTCCAGTAAAGCCTGGTTTAAAGTTTCAAACTGTGTTGGTGTGTTTTAAATATACTCCCAAATCTTCAGGTGCTACAGGTGAAGGTGCATATGGACAGAGGGACATAGAGGTTCAGGAGCCAGAAGAGACTGAGCTGGAGAGTTTTGTTCTGCTCCAAGTGCTCAGTACCTACATCTTCTCCTGCTAAAACTGGACGAGAGAGGAGCTCCTGTGCAGACAAGCCAGGAGGTGCTGGTGCACAGAGAGCAGGGGCATGGCAGAGTTGGGGGGCACAGCCAGGGAGGGGGCCAGGGGAGAGAGGGGAGGGTTGGGGAGCCCATTATGAGCAGCTCATGGTGCCAAAGGAACTCAGAAGTCGCCAGGACTGACATGACAACCACCACAGCACGCAGGAGTGATGGAGAGCAGAACAGGGGGGGCTCCTTGGGATGAACCATAACAGGGACACGAGCTCAGGGGCAAGGTCTGGACACAACACTGGACTAAGTGACCCAAAGCAACCCCAAGGGCAAACTGGGGGAAATCAAAGAAGCACAGCACGGTCTCCGGAGATGGAACTTGACCTCTAGTAACCCCAATGACTCACGGTAACCCCAAAATGACCTACAGTAGCCCCAAAATAACCTACAGTAATACCAAAAGGCTACTTTTTTCACCCAAATAACCCCAAAGTTCTATGCAGAGAGTTTGAATGCAGTAACCCCAATGACACAAAGTAAACCCAAAATGACCTAGAATAACCCCAAAATGACCTAAAGTAACCCCAAAATGCTGGATTTTTAACCTAGAGTAAGCCCAAAAATCTCTGCAGAGTGAGTTTGACCTCTAGTAACCCAATGACCCAGAGTAACCCCAAAATGACCCAGAGTAACCCCAAAATGCTAAATTTTTGACCTAAAGTAACCTAAAAATTCTCTATGGAGAGCAAGTTTGACCTCTAGTAACCCCAATGACCTAAAGTAACCCTAATGACCCAGAATAACCCCAAAATGACCCCAAGTAAACCCAAAGTGCTATCCAGAGAGCAAGTTTGATCTCCAGTGACCCCAGTGAACTACAGCAACCCCAAAATGCCAATGGGTTGACATCAAGTAACTCCAAAGTGTTCTGTTGAGAGGGAGTATGACCTCAAGTAACCCCAACCAATTACCATTTTGGGGTTACTTTAGGTCATTTGGGTTACTCAAGGCCAAACTTGCCCTCTCCAGAGCACTTTGGGGTTACCAGTTGTGATTTTTTGGGGTTACTTGAGGTCAACCAATTAGCATTTGGGGGTTACTATAGGCCATTGGGGTTACTTAAGGTCAAACACACTCTTTACAGAGCACTTTGGGGTTACTTTAGGTCAACTAATTAGTATTTTGGGGTTACTAGAGGTCATAGGGGTCACTTGAGGTCAAACTTGCTCTCTGGACAGTACTTTGGGGTTACTTGAGGTCAATCAATTAGCATTTTTGGGGTTACTACAGGTCATTGAGGTCACTTGGGGTCAAACTTGCTCTCTGGACAGAACTTTGGAGTTATTTTAGGTCAATTAATTAATATTTTGGGGTTACTAGAGGTCATGGGGTCACTTGAGGACAAACTTGCTCTCTGGATAGCACTTTGGGGTTACTTGAGGTCAAAGAATTAGCATTTTGGGGTTACTTGAGGTCATATTTCCTCTCTGGACAGCACTTAGGGGTTACCTGAGGTCAAACAATGAGCTTTTTGGGGTTACTATAGGTCATTGGGGTTACTTGAGGTCAAACTCTCTCTTTGAGGACCACGCTGAGGTCACCTGGCATCACCCACTTAGGCCAAGTAACTTGTACTATTTTGCCAGGGTTTCACCAGCTGAATCCTGTCCCTTCCACTCTGGTTTGTTCCCTGATGCCTTCTCCCTCAGAATGCTGTTATGAGTGATACTGAATTTTTTATGCTTTTTAATTCAAGGAGAAGTGGCTTCTTCTCCTCATGAACCTCCATCCAGCCACTCCAAACTCTCAGCCTTTCCACTCTCTGGTGTGGATTTCTGACATACACTGTTTGACTTTCACCCTTGGAACTACGCTGACCTTGAGAAGCATCATCCCAATTAAAAAAAACATTTATTTGGTGGAAAACATCCCAATGTCAGGAAAATAAAATATTTCTATGAACTAGTAAGGAGAGCAGAAGATGCAGCTTCAAAACATCATTTAATGAGAGGTGTGAATTTTATTACATTCTTTTCCACATGAAACTGGTTTTTAGTTTTTATTTAAGTTTTCCCCAGCTGAACCCAAGGATGTGTTATTATTTTATTTTATTATTTTACTGCTTTTATTTAAAATTTAATTTTTTACTTTATTATTTTATTTATTTTAATTTATATTTTATTTTATATTTCATTTGATTTTGATTTTATTTTGATTTTATTGGTCAAAGACAGCTGTATCCAGAGAAGAATGTTGGTTCTGGCACTCTGCATGGCTGACTTCCAATTGGTTCTCTCTGAAACTGTGACTGGAGATAACCAGGACTTCCTTGGTGGACAGCTATGGGTTTTTCCTCTGCCATCTTTCCATGGCAAGATCCTGACCTGATGGCTCAAAAATGTGACTCAAATGTATGGAATATCCAGATTTGGGGCCCCCAACATAGGAAGGACTTGGAGCTGCTGCAGCAGCCCTGCTCCCATCCCAAAGCATCCACACGGTGTATTCCACTTATTGAACAGGAAAAAATTGTTTTATTGTTGCCCAGAGATTATGGAAGCCTTTGGAATTCCCCACCCCACAGCTCCTGTCCCCTTCCCAGACCCCAGCCTGGCTGACAGCTGTGAGCAACCACTGACCTCTGAGCCAGCAACCAGATTCCAGAGGCAAAATAACCCCAGGGATTGTGATTCCCAGGCTCTCTGGAAGCAACTTTGGAGCTTACAGATTTCAGGCTTTTTGTGGGGTATTAATAATGGCAGATGGCAACTTGCAGGGTGATGAAATGAGGTGTGAGCTGCTCCCTTGACCCCAAAAGCAGCGCCGGTGGCAGACACAAAAGAGCTTTTGCTTCTGCCCTTCGAAGTTCCTGTAATGGACAGAAATAGATGTGGGGTAATTACTTTCTCTGCTCTACAAAAGGCCTGGACTTACACTCCCTGAAAACGGCACTGCCTCCTTCTCCTCACTGATTTCCACTCGCAAGATCTCATATTCTACTCGCAATATCTCATAGGTTTGTCCATTTAGCATTTTTTGGGGTTAGCATTTTGGTTTGTGGGCTCAAATAAACACACAGAAACATTCAAACCACAGACACCGCACAGCAATGGGTAAGCAGGACAAAGATGTTATTTCTTACCTCTTTTTTTTTATTATTTTTGGGCATAAATTTTGCACTGATCCTAGTTTTTTGCAACTCAAATCACTCGTGGTGAGGCCCTGGCACAGGTTGCCCAGAGAAGCTGTGGCTGCCCCATCCCTGGAAGTGTCCAAGGTCAAGTTGGACGGGGCTTGGAGCAACCTGGGCTGGTGGAAGGTGTCCCTGCCCATGGCAGGGGGTTGGAATGAGATGAGCTTTAAGGTCCCTTCCAACCCAAACCATTCTGAGATTGTATCACTCGTGTTTTAAGTGTTTTAAGTCAAGCAGTCCCTTAAATATTGAATCAGAGCTCTTATTCTTAAAGACATAATTGCTTTTCCTTGCTTTTATGTATTTAGTCTGAAGCTGCTGATTCTTAAGAGAGTGTACAATAAAGCATGAAAAGATTTTATCTATTCCATAAAATAATTGGTTTAAATCACATCTAACACTTAACTTATATACAGTTAACTCATCCAAATCATCAATCACATCTATATTACAGAATAGAAATGAAATCACAAACGTTGGGAAAATAGAGATGCTTCATAAATGATGCCATCTGCATCTGTCTTTATTCCAATATCCCTGCAATGGAAAGGACCAATAAAAGGTCCAGGAGCTCCCATTTTGGAATGGGGGATTTCATCTGGTGCCTGAGGGACACGCTGCACTTAAAAGAAATATAAAGATCCATGTTTGGGGGTGTTTTTCCCCCCTATCTCTAGATACAGGTAGCAAGGACAAAATGCAACATGCTCATCAAAAAAATAAACCCAGACAGTAAATTTTTAAGAAAAAAAAATTAGCAGATTTCCAAGCACTTGTGCTCCTCTCCCCCCTTTGGCAAAGGCTGGCAGAGACTGTCCAAGAAACACCACGCACGTACCCGAATAGAAGCTCCCC